CATGTCAGAAATCTATCCCATGAGCCTCCAATCAAGATATGTGCATCATGTAAGATCACATACACATATTCCTCATGGTTTAGTTTGTGGTTTATGGGAATAAAAGAACTCTAGGGAATGATACAATGGCAAAACCTAGAAGGAAAATGCTCTTTGGGGTGCCATGGAAACAAAAACATTTGAGAGGTGACCTAAATGGTTAAGGGGAAATATGCCTCCTTTAAAATGTTTATCATATGGGGGCAAAATTTATGTTATGAGGGCTAAGGCCATATCCTACATTGTACAACTGCCTGCTGTTACATACTAGCAGCAGATTCTTTTTAGAAGATGAACTCAGGACTGGAGAGATATGGTTGAATTTTGAAGTATTTGTTAGCACGTGTGTAGTGTATTCACAGATTTAACCCAGGATGATTCTGACCTTATCACAAACAGTAAAAAACAAAATTGCACAAATTGAGGATGTTGTTTAATCATCAACATCTCAATACACATGCCCCGATATACAAAACAAAGGGGATGGGTAGAGAAGACCTAAACATTCACAAAAACTACATTCCTCCCTTCTTTGAATTATTTGTTAGGTTGAATGAAAACAAAAATACAATAAACCTAATCAACTTTATACGCATGCACATGTCTCTGAATGTCTTATGAAAGTTCTAACAGTGTTTGAATGCTTCAAACTGGCCTAAATTAGAAGTGTACCACAACAACAAAAAAGTTCAAGTTCAGTTCAAAGTTCCAGTTTACATCTAGATTTAAGAGTTCTACTCCGGGACCAGCTGAACACTGCCTAGAACATAGTCCTGAAATCTAGACAGTGGTCATTTTACTCTTGATGGACATAAAGTGGAAGTAGAATCACTTTGCACCGTAGTGGTATCATCTGATGATTTGTACTCCACTGGTTTGTCTTCACTTGTTATTCCAGGAGAAACATGTACAAATTCTCTAAACACTTGGTTTGGTGAACTCCCTGTTACTCCTTGATCCTCTGTGGTATCTGCAATCTACTGGTGGCTTGGGGTGCATTATGTTGCTCTAGATACTTTTTCACATGAGTATTGTATGCCATTTGCCTTGACAAGAGCACTATTTCCATTCTTCTGAACAACTGTAAAGGGAGACTGTATGGCGTCGACAGTTTGTTTTCTTTCTCCTGTCTCAATAACACCTTGTCACCTTTTTGAATCTCGCTTTCATGTGCCTTTCTTTTGCAGTTTGCACACACCTTCCCTTTCTCTTTTCTTTCACTCTCACTGTCTCTGACTTCGTCTTCATCACTGAACTCTTGCAGTTGGGGTAGTTTGGTCCTGATGCATCTTCCAAACAACATTTCTGTTGGGCTAACCCCAGTTGTAGTGTGAGGTGTACTACAATACATCATTAAGAAGTTGTCTATCTCTCATCTCCAGTTACGACCCTTTGCTTGAGCAATATGCAGGCATTTCAGGATACTGCGGTTTTTTCTTTCTATCTCCCATTTGCTTGTGGCCATAAGGGTGTGGTTCGCCAGTGTTCAATTCCACTCTCTTCTAAGTACTTTTTGAAATAGTCACTGATAAACTGTGACCCATTGTTAGTCCAGCGGGACAAAGGAAGGCCATGAGTGACAAAAATCTTGGACAGAATTTATACAGTCCTCTCAGATGTAATAGATTTGGTGAATTCCATTTCGAATAAGTGACTGTAATAGTCCACCATGACAAGGACATAATCACCAGAAGGGAGTGGACCTAATAGGTTAGCAGCTAGATGTTGCCATGGAACAGAAGGTAACTCTGTATGTGTCACCGGCTCAGGTTTAGGCGGTTGTGAAACTAACTGACAGCCATGAACAAAAACTCTTTCCACCTCTTTGTCAATGTCTGGCCACCACACTGTGGTTTGCAGACATTGTTTCATTGCCACAGTCTCAGGATGACCTTCATGTGCCAACTTCAGTGCTTGACAATGAAGCTGCTTTGGTACTATAATTTGAGTTCCACAGAGAACAAGCTCTCCAATCGCACTTTATTCACCTTGCACCAGCAGGTACTCCTTGATTTCTATAGCATGTCACCTTCCATTCAAGAAGCATTCTTGTACACTTTTCAGCTGTGGGTCATGTTTAGATACTCTCTCAATTTCATGGTTGTCAAGGCAACAGGCATTGATTCTTGAGCTACCCACTTTACATACTCTTCTGTTTTGTTTTGGTCTCTTGACTGTGGCACTGGGTGCAGCAGGTGTGACAATGAATCTGCAATGTTCTTGGGGCCTGGAATGTATTTCACTGTGAATCTATAGGGC